ATTCATATCAAATTTCCGGATTTAAGCTTTATTGCTTCACCCAATACCAATGTTTGCACTATTTAGTACTTTTCGTACAATTATAGTAAAAATTTTTAAAACGGAAAATTTAATGTGAAATTTTAGGATTCAGCCTTTAGTTTCCACCTTTACCAAATTTAGTACCAGTACCTACAATTAAAGTACACATATCCGAAACCAGCTCATTTTCCACCACCAACCACAGACACAAACAATGACATCTATATCAAATTTCAGGATTTCAGCTCTACTCCTTCACCCAATATCACATTTAATACTATTTGGTACTTTTCGTACAATGATAGTACACATTTCTAAAACTATCTCCATATCTCAGATGTCAACAGTGATCTTAATATCAAATTTCAGGATTGCAGTAATATTCACCATTACCAGATTTAGTACCATTTAGTACAATTATAATACACATATCCAAAATCAGGCTCCTTCTCGCAACCACAGACACCAACAGCGGCATTTATATCAAATTTCCGGATTTCAGCTTTATTACTTCAACAAATACCAAATTTAGTACTATTTTGTACTTTTCGTACAATTATAGTTCAATTTTCCAAGAGCACTTATATGTATGTCTCAATCCTAGATACCAACAGAGACCTCAATATCAAATTTCGGGAATGTTAAGTTTCTCAATTCGTTCACATAATACCAAATGGCAACATTTTAGAAGTTTATTAAAATTCTAGAACTTTTCTTAACCTTAAAGTTGGAATTTCCAAGAACTCTTTTGTACATCTATCCTGCTCTCTATCAGTGACTCTCACTTAAAATTTCCTTTAAGAACGAATTATCAAAAACCCAGTCTTATCACATACGCATCAAAACTGACCCTCATGCAAAACTTCAAGATTCTAGCTTTATCCGTTTAGTTTGGGCGATGATTTTCAGTCAGTCAGTCTGTTATTTCACTTCACATATCGGCCAACTCCTTCTGGTACCTCCTCCACAAAAGGTAATTTCAATGAAAATAAATAGAAAGAGAAAAGATGATCCGAATTTGCTCCAACTTTGCAAATCCTAATATTTCCGCCACTGCTAGGTCAGGTACGAAAAAGGACAATATCGGTGCACTCCATCAGGTACCTTCCCCAAAAGGGGTTAAAATTTTGAATAATTACAACCCTTATAAAATGTGATGTAAAAGTCCGATTGTCTTCAAATTTCACACAGCACAATACTTTTATTAACCCAAGGTCTGGTGCCAAGATGGAGTATATCGGCCCACTCCTTCTGGTACCTACCCCACAAAAGGTCGAAATTTGGAATAAACATTGAGCTCATAAAACGCGATATTAATATCTGATTCCAGTAAGACTTGGCACATCTGTGAATATTTCTATCAACACAGGATCTGTTATAAAAACGGTAGAGATCGAGCCATTTCTTCAGGTACCTCCCCCACAAAGGGTCAAAGTTTTGAATAACCAAAACGTTTATAAAATTCGAAATGAGCATCAGATCTCTTTATATTTCACACATCCCATTATTTATACTAACACAAGATCTGCTATGAAGATGGAATATGTCGGTTCACTCCTTCTGGTACCTCCCCCACAAAGGGTCCAAATTTTAAATATCAATGAAGTGCATAAAACACGAAATTAACATCCGATTCCATTTAGACTTGGCACATCTCAATATTTCTATCAACACATGATCTGTTATAAAGATGGTAGATATCGAACCATTTCTTTTGGTACCTACCCCAAAAAGGGTCAAAATTTTGAATAAACAAAACGATCATAAAATCCGTAATAAGCAACCGGTTCCATTCAAATTTCGCACATCCAAACATGTTTGTTAACGCAAGATCTGTTATGAAGATGCTAGATATTTTTGAACCCCTTCTGGTACCTTACCACAAAGAGTCACAATTTTCAATACTTATACAGGGTGAGATGAAAAAACTGCAACCACCTTCAGACTGCTGTTATTTTTAAGCCACTCGTCCGACAGTTGTTAAAAGTATCCCAGTGACATCTCATTATATCTATTACAAGCGAACAAAAGCATTTTGGTGAGAATTTTCCAGAAAAAAAGTTATTCGCGTTGGAATTCAAGCGTGGTAGTGTAATTTTATTATATTTTGCGGGAAAACCACAAGTGGCTATCGTTAGAGCACTCCAGCATTTACATATGAATAAATCTTTTGTGTCTCGTACCATCGCTCGTTACCGGGATTCTGGTACCGGTAGCGTAGCCCGACGTCAAGGAAGTGGACGGAAAAAAACAGCAACATCAGCAGAAATGGTTCGAAAAGTAAAGAAGAGACTTGATCGAAACCCGTGTCGCAGTGGCCGAAAAATGGTTCGTGAGCTGAACATAGCGCATTATTCCATTCGGCAAATATTAAAAAATTATCTCGGGGTAATGCCATTGAAATTCTAAAAAGTGCAAGAACTTACACCGCAACAGAAAGAACAAAAATAGGCTCAAAAGAACCAAAGAGTTGCTTCGCTTGGCGGAAAGTGGTGAAATGCCGAATTTGGTTTTCTCCGATGAGAAAACATTCGTTGTCCAGCAGTTTGTAAACAAACAAAATGATCCGCTCGTGTTTACTTGCCAAAGAGGTCAGCTGAAAATGTGCACCTTCGGTTGGCCACCAGAACTCAAGCGCCGGCCATGGTGATGGTGTGGGCCGCCATAACAGTCGATGATTGCACTCCGCTCGTATTAATCGACCGTGGCATCAGAATAAATGCCGAATATTATCGCAAAAATATTCTGGAGGTAGTGTTAAAGCCTTGGGCACGCAAACATTTTGGCCGCAGACCTTGGTCGCAGCACGCGCCACCCAAGAATGGTTACAAAATAAAGTTCCTCGCTTAATTTCCAGCGCACAATGGCCTCTACGAAATCTCCGAATACCAATCCGTTGGACTAATGTGTCTGGAGTATTTTGGAAAGCAAGGTTGTCACTAAAAAGTACCAAAGTTTCGATCACCTCAAGCAAGCGCTTCGCCGGAAATAGACCAAAATACCGCAGAGCAACATTCGGGCAGCGTGTGACGGTTGCATTGTCCGTTTTAAGGCCATAATTCGGTGACCATTTCGAACAAATCTAAACTTACTTTGAAATTTGATGCTATTTCCGAGATTTTTGGTTTCATTCAATAAAATTTAAGAAAAAATGTGAAAATTATTGCGTTTGATTTTGTTGCAGTTTTTTTATATCATCCTGCAAGTATATTTCATATTGGAGGTAATAAAAATATTGCGACGTGCCAAGTCTGGACTAAATTGTGCCCATACCAGTCAATTTAGTCCAGACCTGGCACGTCGCAATATATTTATTACCTCCAATATGAAATATACAAATTAGGTCCACTTATTCGGAACCTACTTCGCAGAGAGTCAATAGTTTGAATAATTTTTATACCCTACACCACAAGGTGGTCAGGGTATTATGTCTTTGTGCTTTTTTTTGTAACAGGCAAAAGGAAACGAGATAGACCCATAGTTCCTTTGATGATCTGCATAGAATCACATTTTGAGTCGATTTATGCATGTCCGTCCCTCTGTACATGTATTTTTGTAAACAAAGTACAATTCGCATTTATTGCCCTATCCGGATAAAATTTTGCAAAAATCATTTGTTTGGCCCAAGGATGAACCCTATTGAAATTGGAGATAATCGGTGAAAATTTAGATATAGCTCCCATATATATCTTCGTCCGATTTCCCTTTTATTGTGCACCAAACGTGTAATATAAGTCCGAATAGTATAGTATTTTGCACATACAACCAAACTAGGCCTGAAAATAAGTATGCCAAATTTGTGATTTGGGTTTATGAAATTAAATTTCTTAAAAATATTTAATTCAGATTATATTAGGTCAATTTTTTTAGAATTCGTAGTATTGGCTTAAATTATTTTATATTTTATGCAACTTCATAGAATGGCGCCCAACGATTTTTAATTTTAATTTTTAAAATTAATTTTTATCAAAATTATTATTATCCATTAATTTTTAGCGCCATCGGAAGCATTCATCTACAAATATTTACAACCCTTTGAACTTGATTTTTTCCATGCACAGTTTACATATTATTGATCAGAATCGTTTCAGATATAGCTATAGCTCCCATATATATTGTTCATCCGTTTTGTTATTTTTGTCCTCCGCGGCCGTAATATGCACTCTGTAACAACAATATTTGGGGAAATTTATCAAATACAGCTCAGAAATACACTTTTTTAAATTTAATCGAGATCGGTTCAGATTTGGATATATCTCCCATATATAACTTCGTCCGATTTACCTTTTATTGTGCACCAAACGTCTAATATTTGCCCAAATGGAATAAAATTTGGCACTTGGCATTGGACCGAATTGAGTCTAGAAGCTAGTATGCCAAATTTGGTGAAGATCGGTTCAGATATAGCTATAGCTCCCATATATACTGTTCATCCGATTTGTTATATTTTTTACCCACAGCCGTAACATGCACTCCGTAACAACGATATTCGGGGAAATATATCAAATACAGCTCAGAAATATCTTTGCCAAATTTTATCGAGATCGGTTCCGATTTGGATATAGCTCCCATATATATCTTTATCCGATTTTAATTGTGGGCAATACAAGTCCGAATTTAAAAGATACAAATGCTTCGGCATATTTAGTCCTTTGAACTTTAAATTATAATTATAATCATAGAGTGTATGATGGAATTTTCCCATAAAAACTCTTAATTGTTATGTGGAGCTCTACTAAATTAGCAAATTGGTGTAGGTATCATAAAGTCGGCCCCGCCCGACTTTAAGACTTTCTTTACTGGTTTTAAGAAGAAAAACCTAATTACTTCCTACTATAGTTCATTCTAAGGCCGAACCTCTAGCCCCAATTAGAAATTTATACTTCCAAAACAAAACAAAAAAAAAATACTCAAATAATTTTTTAAATAATTTATTTTAATATATTTATTATTACAACAAAAAAAAACATACAAACATCTTAAGAACAACTAAACTGATAGCCCATGTCCAAGCAGGAACAATTAGGTAGGGTACAACGGGTACCCACAGATGGTAGCGTTGGTGGTGGTAGAGCTGGGGCCAAATGACCCTGAAATGTTATGGGAAAGGTGAGAGGAACAAACCACTTCGGATAGGCAGTTGGCGGCGATGTGGCAGTGCCACAAAGATTATTGGATAAATTCAAAGGGGGCTGGTAGTGCTGCAAAAAATTTAAATTAGATCTTAAAATCGAATGATAATCCAGTCTTAAACTTACCACATTTCCCGCCGACGAATAAACCGGCTTAAAGGCACTCTTCATGCCCGGCTCACTGCGATTCAGCAGTCCCGCATCCATCTCCCTTATATCCTTATGTTCACGAAAATTACTGGAAATATTTTCAATTGCCTTAATCAAATCCGAATCGCAACGTTTGAGAATTAATTCCAACACCGAACGTTTTCTTTGGGGAAATATTTGCATCAACATTTCAATGGCATTTTGTGAGACCTGGTGTTGGCCTTCACTGGCCATAGCAATGGGGGTTGTATTATCCTCTCTTGGTTTGTTGGCATTGTCCATGGCGGTCAAAATAATATTGGTTTTTGTTGTTTTTATTGTAGAATTATCTGATTTTGGTTTTAGGCCATTTGGCGGTTTTGTTATTTCTTCCACTTCTTCGGTTTGTTGTTGTTGTTGTTTATTTGGCAAACTTAAATCTTCGACTGTTGAAGTTTCCAGAGTTGAGTTTAGGTCGCTTGTTTTTTGTTGTTCACCGTTCAGACCAAAAATACTACCCGGAGGCAATGCATCCAATTGTTGTCCGGTCTTTGTTGCTACCAACCGCAAAGCAATGGCATCTTCGACAGCTTGCTGACGCTTCAGGGCAACCTGTTCAATCAGGAATTCATAACACAGGACATGTTGAAGACAAAGAAATGTGAGTTAGTTTTATAAATTCTTCGAAGTAATGCCTTCTTCAGGATATTGAATAAATTATATAAGTTCTAAGAAAAAGATTTTTGAAATCTACTATGATGAGATTTCCTAATAAAATATCGTGGATTTTCAAGGATTTACATGTGAAAAAGGATTTTCAGACAAGCGGATTATTCAAGGATTTTCAACCAAGAAATGTGGGTATTTTCAGAATTGTTTTCAAAGTCTTCCGGTAGATAAAAGTATTGAAAATTGTCATCCTTTGTGGGTGAGGTATCAGAAGGGGTTGGCAAATGTGTATCATCTTCACAACAGATCTTGCGTTACCAAAAATATTTGGATATGTAAAATTTGTAGAGAGTTCAGATGCTTATTTCGCTTTCTTTGAGCGTTTTGTTTTTTAAAATCTTGAACCATATGTGGGGGAGGTACCAGAAGGAGTGCGCCGATATATCCCATCTTCACAGCAGATCTTGCCTTAGTAGAAATAATGGGATGTGCAAAATTTTGCAGAAAACCGTATGCTCATTTCGAATTTTATGATCGTTTTGGTTATTCAAAACTCTGACCCTATGCGGGGGAGGTACCAGAAGTAATGGTCCGATCTCTACTATCTTTATAACAGATCTTGTGATGATGGAAATATTGAGTTGTACCAAGTCTGAATGGAATCGGATGTTAATTTCGTGTTTTATAAGCTTCATGGACATTCAAAATTTTAACCCTTTGTGGGGGAGGTACCAGAATGAGTGGACCGATATATCCCCTCTTCGCAGCAGAACTTGTGCTAGTAGAAAAAATGGGATGTATGAAATATGAAGTAAACCGATTGCTTATTTCGGATTTTAAAATCGTTTTAGTTATCCAAAATTTGGACCCTTTGTGGGGGGTTGGGAATGGTCCGATATCTACCATCTGTATAAGATGTAGATCTTGTGTTGATGGAAATATTCAGATACGCCAAGTCTAAATGGAATCGGATGTTAATTTCGTGTTTTAAAAGCTTCATGAATATTCAAAATTTTTGATCATTTGTGGGGGAGGTACCGGAAGGAGTGGACCGATATATTCAATTTTCACACCAGACCTTGAGTTAGTAAAACTATTGTGATGTGTGTAATTTGAAGAGAACCGTATGCTTATTTCGGATTTTATGATTGTTTCGATTATTCAAGATTTTGACCCTTTGTGGAGGAGGTACCAGAACAAATGATCCAATCTCTAACATCTTAATAACAGATCTTATGTGAATGGAAAGAAAAGAGACTCAAAGAGCTAAAGAGTTGCTTCGCTTGGCCGAAAGTGGTGAACTGCCGAATTTGGTTTTCTCCGATGAGAAAATATTCGTTGTCCAGCAGTTTTACTTGCCAAAGAGGTCAGCTGAAAATGTGCACCTTCGGTTGGCCACCAGAATTCAAGCGCCGGCCATGGTGATGGTGTGGGCAGCCATAACAGCCGATGGTCGCTCTCCGCTCCTATTAATCGACCGTGGCATCAGAATAAATTCCAAATATTATCTCGAAAATATTCTGAAGGGTGTATTAAAGCCTTGGGCACGCAAACATTTTGGCCGAAGACTTTGGACATTTCAACAGGGCTCAGCACCATTTCAGAATGGTTACAAAAAGAGTTTCCTCGCTACATTTCCACCGCACAATGGCCATCAAAATCTCCGGATACCAATCCGTTGGACTATTGTGTCTGGAGAATTTTGGAAAGCAAGGTTGGCACTAAAAATATCAAAGTGTCGATCACTTCAAGCAAGTGCTTCGCCGAGTATGGGCCAAGATCACAGGGCCAAGACCACAGAGCAACATTCGGGCAGCTTCTGACGGTTTCATTGGCCGTTTGCAGGCCGTAATTCATGCCAAAAATGACCAATTCGAACAAATCTAAACTTATTCTAAAATTTGATGCAATTTGCGACTTTTTTTGCTTTCAATGAATAAAATTGAAAAAAAAATGTAAAAATTATGGCGTTTGACTTTGTTGCAGTTTATTTATCACACTCTGTATATAATCTCTCTAGCCATGTGGCTGAGGGTACAAAAATCCATAATTCTTGGTCAGAAGTTTTTCAAAATACCACGATTCGAGGACTTCTTGAAACATATTTTTTATAAAATCAACAATTCCTAACCAAGGAAATGCATATCTTTAAAAATCCAGTTTTCCAGGAAGTTCTTGAAAAAAAAATCGAGACGTGGAGTATTTTGGAATGCATTACCCCCTGGTAAACATTACCATCGTTCTCCACTAATAAACAAACGTTGTTTTTATAAAAACAACAATAAAGGGATTAAGCCTGACCATTTTGCAACAACAAAATACTATGGTATCCCGAACAAACAAAGCCAACACGATTCGGAAAATATTATTTTAAAATCCACGTCTTTTGGTCAAAAATATATTGAAAAATATTGCTCATTATTCTTGAGCAGGAAGTAGTTGAAATGTATTTAGGAAATATTAATTTTCTGGAAGTCCTTGAAAACTTTTTAAATCCGCGACTATTTAACAGGTAAATCTTAGAGAAAACTCACGATTCTTGGATTAGAAATTATTTTTAAAAATTTCATTATTCTGGCCATGGAAGTTTTATAAAAGATCCTAGATTTTTGGCCAGGAAGCTATTAAATAATCCTTTATTCTTGGCTAGGAATTTCTTGAATATAATTTTAAAATATATACAATTTTTTCCTAGAAAATTTTGAAAATATATTTTGAAACTGTTCACAAATTTTCGCCAGGATTTTCTATACAAAAAAAAAACTAAAAATTCGTAAATTTTTTGCCAGGATTCCTTACAAGATTTTTCTCAATTTTTCAATTTCAATTTCACAATTTTTGTGAAAAAAAAAAATATTTAACACCCTACGGTTTCTTCCCGGAATTTCTTAAAAAAATGCAATAAAATAATTTTTTTAAACAGGAAGGAATTGAAAATTAAATTTCAAATTCTTTTCTTAAATTAAAAAAATCCGATAATTCGCAAGGAAATTACAAAAATATTTAAAAAATCTTTTTTTGAAAAATTAAAATAAAATCATTTTTTTGAAAAATTAAAAATAAATCGGTCAGGAAGTTATTAAAAATTAAATTCCCGACTCTTGGCAAGGACATTTTAATAATATTTAAAAAAGAATCTTTTAAAAATTAAAAAAAAAATCTTTTTTTTTTTGGAAAAAAAAAACATAAATATATTTTTATATAAATGTAGTTTTTTTAAACTGGAAGGTATTAAAAATTAAATTTCCGATTCTTACCATCGTTTTTTTTTTGAAAAATTAAAAAAAAAAACTTTTTTTGAAAAAAAATTCCTTTTTTTAAAAATTTAAAAAAAAAATCTTTTTCTTTTGAAAAAAATATATATTTTTATATTAAAATATTTTTTTTTAAACAGAAAGGCATTATAAATTAAATTTTTCAATTCTTTCTTTGAAAAATTAAAAAAAACCTTTTTTTTGAAAAAAAAATCTTTTTTTTGGAAAAAAATCCTTTTTTTAAAAAAATCCTTCAAAAAAAGAGTTCCATAAATAGTAGAAAAACATCTGTCAAGATATGTGGTTTCCGTGTAAACGCAAAGCTGCCAAATCCAATCAATTACACACTACTAGCCCCCTGTGTTTATCCCCCGACCCGTATTTAAACAATCACTGGAGACAATTGAAATTAATATGCCAAACATGAGGAGTTTATCTTTAACCGGGTGTTAAAACATAATATCTCCACTCCTTCCCCTTACCCCCAACCCCCGCCTAAATACCCTAATCCACCACAACATTGCCTTTAATTCAAATGATTATCCTCAAGGCTGTGTTGGGGGCGGGGGGGAGACAAATAAAAATATAGTGTAGTTTTGTTGTATTTGTAACGTGACCTTTCGTCAAAAAAAATCCTTGCATTCCCCAAAGAACACTTGTGCAAACAGCGTCAGTGGAGACGACAAAAACGGTGGGAGAGGGGGTGAACTAGAAACTATGGTTTATTTGTTAAGTTTGTTGCTCAGAAATGTTGTTTGCACTTTTGTTTGTGTTGCTGTTGCTATTGTTGTTGTGGTGAAAAACTTGTTGGTTCCAATGCATTTTGTTTTTGGGAAACATAATGCCGCCGGTTATGGTGTCAACTTTTTCTACTTCTTCTTCATTTCCCTCTCTCCACCCACAGAGAGATATAGATTGACATGAACTCATCTCTCCAACATGATGAAACATTTATATTTACATTTGTTTTGATTTAATATCATCAATTCATATTAGGAAAATCTGGAGAGGGGTAAAATGCCTGACACTCACCTCCATTTTCAAGAAGTTTTCGACATTTCCTCACATAAACTTGATAAGATATCTTGCCAAAGGAAAAGGAAATTTTGTGTCTTTTCCCCTTGGGGTATATTTACTTAATCAATTACGTTCGCTGCATTTCGAAACAGAAGTCAAAGAAAGTCGACTACTAGTATTTTTTTTCTTTTTTGGAAAAAAAACTGATAAAATTAACATCAACCCATGATGAAGGATGTGTTCTTTGTTTTCTTCTCATTTGTAAAGGTAATTGAAATTAATATGTAGAGGGGTATTTGTAATTTTATGTTCTAGAGTAGATTCCGGGAGTTAACCTCATTGCAAATAAGATATGGATATCATATCAGACGATGTGGGTTTTACATATGTACAGGGTGAGAAAAAAACTGCAACAAAGTCAAACGCCATAATTTTTACATTTTTTTTAAATTTTATTAAATGAAAGCAAAAACAAGTATAAAAACTGTAAGTTAGGCCTGGCCGAACTTTGAATACCCTCCACCTTTTGCAACGAATTTGGAAATTTTCAAAAAATAAAATCCTTAAAAAATTTTGTTAAAATTTAAAAATACCGAATGTAGCCGTTATATTGGGGTCTATACGACGTGGACCCCAACATACATAGGCATTGTTTGTCTTGAGTCATTTCCA